CTTTTTTCCTCCAGTTCCACGATCCCGACGGTAAACTTGAAAACCGTCTATTGACACTAGAGAGTCATCTACGTCCTTATTCAACCAGGATTCTTGAACATAGACTGCACACGTGTTCGTATGAATTCTTGAATTCTTTTGAGTAGTGGTGAAGGAGATAGGGGACATTGAATAGAACTGACCACACACTTCGGACTTTGCCTTCACACTCACAATCCTCAGTTCATTCATACTATTTTTTTGCACGGGGGTAGCATACACGCCTTCCATGCAATGGATCCGGAGTTCAAAGCCCGAAACAGGACGGTGGATATACACTACTGATGAGCTATAATAAGAGCGAAACTCGAGTTTACAATGCTTCCGATTGTATGGTTTACTGGACAACATGAGGAATGTGAGTGGGAATGTGAAGTCCCAAGTGTAATCAGTTAAAATCAACGTGGTTTCAGATGTGTATGTTAGTGTCAACCACTTCCGATTCGATTACGCGCAATTGAAGTAGCTCTTGCGTACTGTAACGTATTGTCAAGACTGTGAACTAGCCATGTTGTCTTCACTTGGAGACTGTCCCCAAGTTGACCATGTGTATCGTTGTTGTTGTTGTTGTTGTCGTCGTTGCTGTTGTTGTTGTTCGTTGTGGTGACGGTGATGGTGATGCCGTTGTTGTCATTTTCAATATTGTTGCAGCGAACTTATGGTCAACTGTTTCACGTTGATTATTTTGTTCTTCTTCTACTACTCCTTCAGTCTAACACCAGATCTTCTTGCAATAAACTGGATTGCATAATCGCGAACACAAAGTAAACACTGGTGATAGACATTGTGAACCAGGACGTATTCAGTGCACCTGCGAATGTCAGAGTTATCAAAGATTGATGCTTGCCTAATCCAACAGGCCTGAATAGTTCACTGATTTAGCTCAAACGCACTCTCACCTTGGTTGGTATATGACGGAAGAAACGCTCGTCTACATCTATCTATTGTATTAAAGAGATACAAGATAATCGTATACCCGAATGGGAAACCTGTCGATCATCGGTCGCTAACGGGTGAATCGTCAAAACGAGTGCAAGCATATAAGCCATGAGGAAATTGCTGTTTCGCGGAACGTTTTCAATCGGTTTCAACATGTGGAAAACGTTCATTTTGACATGGAAAATAAAATCCGATAGGTAAAACAAGCTGTTTTACGATAAATTTATCAACTGGCCATTTACATTTCTATAGGTAGAGCATTTTAAATTGTTTGATCCTTTGTGCGGTGGATCTTATTACCCTGTGTACAAAGTGATGCTACCTACGTGCGTCAACAATTTGACTGAGCTTCCTCTTGGTTACAGCGTTCTCTTCCAGTTACCACGCTCGCATTGGTTGATCGCTTGGCGACTGGTCATGGTAGCGATAATGTCTGTCTGGACGAAACGCTTCTGATTGCGTTGTGAGGGGTTAAACAGTTTAATCGCTATGGCGTCAGCCGTGCATAGAAGAATGAAGCGTACAGATTTAGATGATAACGGTGGAACACGATAAACGGATCTGAACGCTCAATTTACTTCCATTTGTTGATTATTTTCTAGGTGTTGGCATGTCGCACTTCACGCTGTCCTCGTTTCTCCGTATGCTAACCATCGAGGGTGGTGTTCCTTTATTCTCTTTGACAATTGTCTTGTTGTCCGGCCTATGTAGCTCGCTTCACAGGAGCAAGTAAACAAATAGATGCACATAGATACGGCCTGAGGGAACAATGTGTCTTTGAAATGGAAACGAATTGCAGACGATGTGCAGAAACTGATGCGTAGTGCTGCCGCAGTGAATGTTCTCCTTAGCGTTTGGTTTACTGTTCGTCTGACCCGATTCGCTACCTTGTCGCCCTTGTATGGTAATTACAGATACATGAGTTTTCTGCTCACTGTGGTCACTTCTGGTTTCTCCATTATTTCTCTTAGTTGTTTGTATGTTTGTTCTATGCACGGCTGGAGCTCTTGCAATCAGATTTCCAAAACAGGTTTACTCTAAAACCACCAAACGGAGTGTTCCACTGTTGGATTACATCAAAAGCTAGCATTTGTTTTATGGTTTCTTTTTGAAAAACCATTAGGCATGTATTCCCGCGCGTTGCTTTTGGTTGTTGTCTTTTGGCCACTCATTTGTATGAACAATAGGAGGAAAACAGAAAGGTTGAAAGTAGGATAGAAAAGAAACTTGAGAGATTCAGTGGATTAATAACGCCACTGTTTACTACACTCAGCCATATCACTCAGTGTCTCTAACCATCACTGACCATCATCTCGGAGTCCCCAGCCATGGAGTCTAACAGGGCCTATGTGACCTAGTCTCCTGGTTAGGGTTTTCATACCCTCATATCAGGTCTTAGTTTGACCACCCTTGGCTTTCTTCCACCCACTACCTGCCTCGGCGAACATCGCTCGCCTTGGTAACCTATCTGGTGACATGCGTAACATAGGCCCCAAACAAGTGTGAACTCGATCAGGAATAAGAATTTCCAATTTCGTCAAACTACTACTTCCATTCGTTGGACAACCGAACAGGTAATGATTCTAATTTCAATTCGAAGCATTTCTGGTATATCATCCGCAACCACAATTGTAAATATCACTTTTTTCCCATAGAAAAAAATATCATTGTACTATTTCTATTCCACCCAGAAATTCTCCTGTCGTTTACAACCGACCGCGGAGGACAAGGAACAATTTGAACAAATGATCTCTTGGTGTGCTTTCCGACCGCTCAATCTCGAAGTGGTATTGTTCTACCAGTACCTGGTCGATTACGGACAACGTACACAGTGTCCACTGATTGATCAAGATTTGATATTTCATCTGGAAGTGGCACGATTCCAGGTATGTGTATTCACATCGCCCCTCCCCCCTCATACCTGCCCCAGCAAAGAACGTAACACACCAGAGTAACCTTGCATGGGCTTCGTTTTTTTTCATACTGAATCCAAAAGATTCATAATTTGTCTTAATTGACAGCAATCTTCATTGGTCCAGATACATTCAAAATTGTATGGGAAAAACACAGTTACGTAAACTCAGGCAACTCATTCAGTTCTCTGTACTCATTCGTTCACCAATGCGTTTGACCCATTCTGCTGTATTGCTCCCCTGTAGTGTTTCGTGACCTTTTAAAACAAACCTTAAAACTATTCGTCGTGGTTTGATGATAACCAGTCGTGGATCGTTAATCCCAATCGATTCATTAATCACAATTGTCAATGGTCATATGAACTCTGGTATTAAATTTGCCAGTAAGATTATGGATGACTCTCTTCATCCACTGCATTCCGATCTAGATCATCTTATAGTTCCCA